CCCCAAAACCCCAAAACCCCAAAACCCCATAGCGTTAAATATTCCAAGAATCAGATAACATTAAAATTTAAGTCTAATAGGAAAAGTAATTTCATAGTGAGAGCTTTCTCTAAAGTTTTGGCTTGTCCTCAGCCATCTTCAAAAGCTTCTATTATTCATCAGTAAATTTCTCAACTGGCAATTCAAGAACCACATCCTTATCAAAATAAACTTCCTCCATTTGATAATTCTTAATCTTACTCATATATACTTCAATTCTGAAGTTTCTATCAAATACACTGCACTTCTTATCCTTAGAGGCTTTTTCAATCATGGGTTTGTCCATCGACAATACTCCTGAGTTATCTATAAATGCTGTGTGGAACCAAAAGTGAAATATTTTCTTCAGTGACAGTTTATTTTTATTGAAAAATTCTACTTTTACATCATCATAGACAAGCAGATTAGCTTTGCTTATTCTAAAATCATAGTAAGAGAGAGAACTAATGAACTTAGACTTTCCCTCCTGCTTATAGTCATAGATGACTGTATCCTTGTATTTAACTTTAAATGTTGGCTCAATGCCTCCATTTTAAAACTGGGGCGTGGTTATCATTCTAATTTTATAAATTTTGAGCACTTGTCTAGGCATCTAGATCAGATTTTTCTAAGGATAGAGTTATCTTCTCAGCTGAAGGAAATTTTCAAAATAATAGACATATCTGATCTGTGAGGGTATAGTTACTCCCTTGCCATTTGAAGTTCTAATTTTACCATAGAATACTAGTGCATCATGAGCAGCTTTAAATTCTCTTGAATAAATAAGGTAACAGCAAATCATAACTCCAGTTCTACCCTTTCCTGCTTTGCAATGAATTGCAGCTACATTCCTTTCATCTTCTTTCATAAATTCCTCCTAAATTGCAAATTAGATAATTTTACGCTTACAATATCTTAACAGAATTTGAGTATCATATCAAATGGTGGCGGATTATGATCTTCAAACCTAAATCTCTGACTCACCTTTTCAAAAGACTTATCATTGTAAGATCTCTCTTGACAAAGATTATATATCTTATAATAGCCTGAGTGTTTTTTCTTGAAAAACTCCTGCACATCCTTCATCGAATTCCTGTAGAACTATTCCAGTCTCTCACCAGGGTATCCCATCGCAATTACCCTTGGAGTAACATCTGTTAGAAATTTAATAAAATCAATGTGTACAAGTAAGATCAAGATCGCAACCATCTTGGACATATCGACGTTTTTTTCTTGAGACCATTCTTTTAATTACATTGAGAGACTTCTTTTTATAAGAAATGCCCATGAGTTTATTCACTTCATCAACTTTACGATCAAGTTTGTCCTCTTCTTCAGAAGAATAAGTAAATGAGCTATCATCAGAATCTTCATCATTTTAAGGATTATAATACATATCTGTTGTAGCAGTTTTGCTCTCTGGTATATTATTTCTGATGTTGTTATTTGTATTGTTGGTCTAGTAAAAGTTACCAGTGCTCATCGCTATATGATCTCTAAAATCTGGAGAGTTACCCTCTGTAGTCAATGGGTTCTTTAAAATAGAGTTACTGTGGCTTCCTCTTTCCAATTAATAGTTTTAAGGAGTATAAATAGGAGTAGTCTCTTTAGTATTTTAACTTCTATTAGCTCCACCAGAGGCTGTGTTGTTATTGAACATAGCTCAAGCCTCATTATAGTCAGTGCCTGGACTTATAAAGGACAATCGACTCTAGTTTATAGACTAGTGATATGAAAAATTCCTTGTGGGAGAGACCTGATCCTGATCAAAGTTTTTAGACTGGTTGAGCTAATTCTAGTTTACTGCTTTTTTATACATTTTATTTATTATCGTAAATTATGATTAGCGATTTTTAAAAATCAGAGTCAAATGGGGTTTTGGGGTTTTGGGGTTTTGGGG